TTAATACATGTTTTACAGATTTAATTTTAGCTAAATGTAATATTTAGACTTACCATATCATATATTTTTTTTTTAAATTGATATATTAAGAAGCTTTTCATTATTATATTCGTAATAATATTATTTATTTGTAGATGATAACTACGCTTAAAATTTTTATAAAATTTTAATATTATAAAACATATATTTTCGTTTGTTATGTCTGCAAAATTCATATAAATCTAAAATTTATTTGATTTTATCGCATGCTCTATAATTTTCACAAATAATAAAAATCAATTTTACACTTCAAATAAATTGAAATAAATTTCATTTGCATTAGTTTTAATATTTTATGCAAAATTGATCAAAGCATATGACATCATTTATTACATTTAAATTTATTACATTTATATATAATACATATCATTTTGTACGTTTATAAAGATTGAGAATACACGTCTAAATATTAAGATCAATTAGAAAACATATTTAAGTATTTAATCACACGCTTGGCGTGGGTCAAAATCTAGTTACTTGTAATAAATCAACAAATGGAAAAAATGAAATTTCTGTTATTATAATTTTAATATTTAGCTAGCTCGTCATGAGGTATAAACTTTTTTCCCGTCGAGTTAGGAACTAATTTTTCTTTCTGGCGTCGAGTTAGTAATTGTATTTAGTGTCCACTTGTGTTTAATTTTCTGAAATCTCTTATGTTAATCATAAACATAAATGTTAGTTTGACTAGCTTGTAATTTTTCCAATATACCAAGTACTAAAATGCTGTATAAAACTAGTGGTTTCCTTAATCCTATAAAATTAGTGGTTTCCTTAATCTCAAAAGGTGATGTAATTAACATCCTAGGTTACTAAAATCTAGATTATGATCTGTGTTAACATGCGGGTAAATACATTAAAAAAATTAATGAAATAAATATTTTAATTTTAATTAGTAATCTGTTGAAATTTAAAATACTATTTAACGTGAATACTAAAACCAGTAGAGATCAATTTATATCATAATTTTCATGTCCAAATTCATATCATGCAGATCCAAATATATATAAGATATATACTAGATTAGGACCCACGTTAATACACAGGTGAAAAGATTAAAAATTATTCATATAAATATTTTAATTTTAATTAGTAACTCATATATGGAATTACTAAAAATATTTTGAAACTTTATATCTTAATTCTCATACCATAATTCATATGATGCATATCCTAAATTATATATATAAGTGAAATTCAAGTCATATTCTTAATAACAAAGAATTTTTTTTTACTGTTATGAATATATATTAATTATGTGATAAAATCGTAAAACAATTCAAATACTCTAGATTTATGTAGAAAAATTCTTGTTAATAATCTCATCAAACCAGTGGCGAACCCAGAAATTTTTTTCACCAAGGTCAATATATAATTAACCCAAAAATATTTTTCACCAAGATTTCAAAAAAAAAGAATATATATATATAATTAAAATATATAAACAATTTTAATAAAATAAAAAAATATTCTACATAATTACCCTACGATGTTTCATATTTTAAAACCTTTTTATGACGGTTTTATTTATAATAGTTTCAAACATAATCGACAATTGAAAATTTGGGGGAAATTTTTCAATCATGTAATACGGTTTAGATTAGTATAATTAAAAGAAAAGAGTTACAAATGGTTCAGTTTTGTTCTAATTAAACAAACAATTGAATTTTATTAAAGTGGATCACATTTGGTTCTAAAATAACTAGATTGGGCATGAAATATTTTTGTTTATGGTTCAAAATATAAACTTAACTACAAAAAGTAAATTGGAACAAGTTCAAAACATATATTAAAAGTTCAAACCAATAAATGTAATGAAATAACCAAAAAAAAAAAAAATGGGTGGTTCAACTGACCTACTATACATACATGTAGGTTCGCCACAGCATAAAATCTATAAAAATATTTTATAAATAATCCTATAAAATTAGTGGTTTCCTTAATCTCAAAAGGTGGTGTACTTAACATCTTAGTTTACTAAAAATGTATGTATTTATGGAAAAAACTACATTCATTATCCTCTATATATTAATAGAGGAAAAATTAGGTAAAAAATCATAAATGTCATCCAAAAAGGATTTTAAAGAATTTAGAATGAAACCTATTAAAAATCATTAATGACATGAACCATTATACAAATAATTAGAATAGCCCAACTATATCTTAACCCAATTACCCACCAAATTTTATAATAACATACA